CAGCTCTAACTTTAGTGCTTTCAGTTTTGATGCAATATTAGACATCTCCATAATGTACTCCCTTATGTTACCTTTGCCTTTGTATCTCATAGAGATAAGCTTGGCAAGTAAACTGTTTGCTTCAGCCTTCTCATTACCAGAGAAATACTTTTCAACAGCTTTAAGGAAACCTTTTGCACTCTCACTCTCAGAAATAGAGCCCCGAAAAAATTCTGGGACAGATCGCTTCATGATCATCAGGCACATTCGGTTTGAGCGTTCCCATTTTTCAACTTTATCCTCTTCCAGTTTTTCCGAAGTTGGAATGGGTTTCTCAATCCGAATAGCCAGATCAAGGTCCATGCAGCCAAGAAGTATCTCAACTGCTTCCTTCCAGACCTTAAAATTTGTCCCATTAAGCATTGGGATACAATTAAGTTGAGCAGTCAAGTTAGCAGCATTAGCAATAGCAATTGTAAGAAAACATTGAGAAAATGGGAAAGAAAAAAAAATAAAAAATTAATATACACAAAAATATACATAAATAATATTCATAATAGACTCCAAACAAGATACCTAGCACAACATTAATTCTCTGTCTTTGGACGTACAAATTAATTTGTAAGTGGTACTCTCAATGCAACGATCAAACATTGACAATTAATTCTGTCAAAAAAATAGCCTTTCTTTGGACCGACTGTTTTTCACATGAATACAACGTTATAATTGTCACATATTTATCGTCACAAGTATGTTATTATTTGGCCAAATTGCGTCTTCCTTTGGGATGAACACAAAATGCATAAATAATTTCATACAAACATCCACGTAATTTTAATTAAATCAATTTTCACAATAGAGATCACTTTGGCAATATGTTGCTACAACTAATCTAATTAAAGAATTACCGGACTTAAGAAAAATAAAGAGAGTCTATTATCCAAATAATAAATTTAATATTTATATATTAAATTGATATAAGGCTATATATATATATATATATATATATGCATGTATGTAATGTCAAATTTATCACACTAACTTGACCCCATGGACGGTAACATTGATGGTAATAATAATAACTTTCCCAAATGCAAATAATAATAATTGTCATCAATTATGTGATAACAACAGAAACGGAAATAATAAAAAAAATGGAAAGTATCAACATGATAACCTTTGGTTTTGTTATTTCCGAAACGGAAATATAACGTTTACTTTTAGTTTTAAATTTGTATGCAATTATGACCATTATATAATCTTAATGATTGAAATCAAATATCAAATCAAAATAACTAAATGTCCATATATATATATAATTGAAATCATAATCAAGCTGAAATCATAATCTTTATTTGGAACCAAATAAATTGAATCGATGTCATCAGGGATTCCATTGTTGAAAGAATTGTCCATTATCATCACATAAAAAAAAATTGCTTTATTGAAGAAATCTATATACCTTATTGAAGATATTATTTGTCGAAGAATTTCTGAATGGATTTGAACAATCCCAGTTTAAATTATTCGACTGAATATCTATAATGAATATAACTTTCTTAATGATTCAATTATGGTTGGCTCTGATACCAATTGTGAGAAAATTCTCTATTATATATTAACCCAATTGATCATCCATATTAGATCAATAAGAAAGATAAATAACAGACCTTATTATTAGATATTCATTAGAGTACAAAGTATATACCCAGATCTATTACGCTTTTACTGCAGTTAAATAACAGCGAAAGCTTTAGTCTAGGTAATGGACTCCACTATGAGTGATTACCGTTCCTGTTGCAAGTTGATTCAAAAATGGTGGTGTTATGGTCTTCCTCAACCAAATCGCCGTAATCCCAATTACAGGGACTTGAGAGCCAAACTCCTGATAGGAAGAAGTATAGAGGCAATATTTTTTTTTTTTTGATTTGGTCTATTGGGGATCAGCACCGCTAGAGGGGCTTATTTTTATATTCACCTATTAGAGTTTCCACTATACCAAAATAGGCCAAGCCCGGTATCCACTCATATGGACCCACATTACTTCCTACGATAATCCAAATGGGCTCACCCGATGCAGATCACTTGCAAATAGCCCAATTAGCGTAAATAGCATAATATAAATGTATTATTATATTTAATATGTAGCCCACACATTATTTATTGGAATAAAATAATTCCAACACAGACGTGTCTCACCAACTTCCTAACACAAAAGCCTCTAACAAATCTGTATGATCTTTGACAATTGTTGCTGTATATATTAATATGGAAGAAGTAGAGGCTAGATGGCACGAAATTTAAAAGAATGAAAAGTAAGAAAACTAGAGCAGTAAGAAAATTAATGTGAGCCAATGAAGAGGGAAGCCTGCATATAGATCTTAGGATCGAGTAATTCACCAACAACATATCCTCAAATGGATATATTTTACCAAAATATTGCCAGAATAATTAAACTTTAGGATAAGTTACGCTTTATTTCTTATAACTATAGACATCTTCATTGATTATGTGCTTTTCCTATCACTAAAAGATAATTTTACATACCATTTAAATTGTATACCACTAGCTAGAACTTCTAGTTTTATTTACAGTTTTTATTTATTTGTCACTATTTTTATTACCATTTTTAACTATAAACATTTTCTCCAATTATTATATATAACAACTTATCATTCTCTAGTCTTTTTCTCTATTACGACATCACAACGACCACTTGTTCTCTCATCTTCATTATTGTCACCAATTCTTTGATTGTCATCATCCCTGATTCTCGTGTCATTGGACTTCAACCATAAAAGTAAGTGATAACATGAATATTATTTATATATTTTATATGAATTCTCTGTACTCTGGATGATACAATGCTTGTAACTATAGCCTCATGATTATATTTTGTAAATTGGAGATTTGGATCATGTTAAAAATAGATTGAAGGTGATCAAGTATTAAAAAGAAAAGGATATGACTACAAATTTTTTGAATTTATAAAAATCAATTGAAGGAGAGACAAGATGTCTAAGAATAAAGCGTGACCGTAACTTTTACCATAGGGAAAAAGTGTGCTTTGATGCAAAGTGTGTCCATATAACGCTTAATGAAAGAAAATTTGTTCATCCACAAGGCGTGCACACACACTATAAGTTGAAAAAAACATTAGTATATTCAAAAACACATTGGTCATCTAAATATGTTGAAAATTATTCTCGGTGATCGATTAAATATTTTGTACCTAATTAGGATATATTATCTTCGAGATACATTTTCCATAAAGTTAGATTTTAGAGATTCAATTTTATCTTCTTTTTTTTTATTAGAATTTAATTTTTGTATTTAGGAGATTCTCAAACTAGGTTTATAATTATAAAAGAAGGAAAGAATTATCTCTTCTTCTTGAAAGCTACTTCTTTTATTTATTTATTTTTAATGAGATAATGTGAAACTAAACTCTTGTTCTAATCCAAGGATAGATGAAGTCTGATTTTTCAAGAGTTATAAGATTTAAATTTAGTTTATCTTTTAATTATTTAATATTCATATATCTTATGAGTATATTCATTGGATATTGTTTGTTGATTGTTAAAAAAGGTTTTTTTTCATTGAATTTACATGTCAATGTACAAACAATTAGAATGTTACATTTGTTATTGTATAATTCTGTAATAACTAGAGATAAAATAGTAAGGTTTAAAACAAAGAATTTAACTTTTTTTATTTAAATATATAATTAATATAAATCAATCAATCTTCTGTGTTTGTTGGCTAAAGTTGGTGGCCTCTGTAAATCCTAATGTTATCAGTGGATTAAATCTTTAAAAACTTATTTAGGATTGTTTATCAATAAAAAGAATATTTAAAACAATGTGTTGATTATCAAAACGATAAGGAGATCAATTAGATTGGCAGAGTTTGTTAATAAACATAATCAATTTATTAAAGGATTAAAAAATAATCTTGGTATTAATAATCGATTCTAAAAATTAATGCTGAAATTACTTCTTGAGTTAAATGTTCATCATTATTGAATTTCATTAATTTTTATATTCTTCACTTTTATTTTATTTCATTTATTTTAAATTCAATTTAACCCTCCCCCTTCTATTTATTAAAAAAAAAAAAAGAATAAGCTTTACCGATGGTTATGAATTTGACCCTAGACTTATTTTACCACAGTTTTAACTGTGGCTAATTATAGCATTTTTTTTTTTACTTTAACCTAAATTTTAGGGTATTTTAGTAATACAAATAAGAATAAGAGAATAAAAAATAATGTATTCTAAAATATAAGAATAGATTAGAATTATAAAGTTTAAATTAAAATATCATTTTACAAAAGACATAATATGCATTTTTCAACTCAAGTGGCATCTAGTCCCTTTGAAGTGGGGCCGGTGTTAGCAACTGTGAGAAGCATATCAAGGCTTCAATCAATGCCTGACCTGTTGCTGTGTAACTTTTATCTTAAAAAAAAGTTTATTTAAAAATTAATTGCTCCAAAAAAGTTAATTTTGTATTCATGGTAACAAATTAAATGCTTATGCGTTTGATTTCTAGCAATAATTCCCTTTTCAATTACTCAGATAATATTTTCTCCAGTTTATTTTAGATTTTTCTGCTAAAATAAAAAATAAACAAAATAAAATTTAGAGGAGAATGAGCTTTTAGAAAAAGGATTCTTTTTTAAAATATAATAAAGCTTTTGACTAATTTTTTTTTTTTTTACTTCCTTTTTATTTCCAACCCCAAGGATAGACTATCCAAGAAACTTTGACTTAAATGTAATTTTTAAGCTTTAGAAGTTATTCGAATAAGAATGTAATGATACATTAAAATGAAGTATTTAACATATAATTTAGTTTAAGTGTTTAGTTTTTTATTTAATTGTCAAAAACAATCACTTAATAGTTTTTATTTTTTTGTTGAGAAAATTTTTTTAAAAAATAAACCATTAATTTTTCATATATTATTACTTTAGTCAATTTGCACTAAGCAGATATTCCCCTAAAAGAAACAATTTTTACAACCGAAATCCTATATAACAACTTGTCAATTGAAAATAATCGTTTACAGATAAAGAGTAATGCATATCATCCACATTAAAATACCAGTCATCACTTATTATACACAACATATGTAATTAAGGATATTGATAACCATGTCATGAGAAAAAACCGATAGTTTCCATCAAACTCAGATCAAGAACGAGTAAAAGAGGCTCTCAAACTTTTTCATTTCCTTAGGAGGAAGAGCCACAATAATATTTACCCCATCATTACCACCACAACCACCTTCACCTTCACCTCCACCGAAAGGAGGAAACAATAGTATAATATCCTTCCTGTGATACACCACTGGACAGCAATACTTTGGCTTTCCCCATGGATACTCTACCTCTTCAAACCCCAATCTCCACCATGAAGACACTAAAACCTCCCCATGTGGAAAACCATTATACAACTCTCCCCAATCTATTATAGACCTTGCATACTCATCATTCATTCTCTTTGCACCCTCTGTCACCATCTCAACCAAGCTTGAGAATGAACCTTTCTCCAAATCCTTACACTTCGCTGTGGCATACGCCGTTAACACAGCGTTTCCGGTGTATGATTTGGGTAACGGAGGATCAAACTTTGAACGAATATCCACAGCATATAGTATTGTAGATGACCTAGTAGGATCATCTGGTCCAGACAATGCCTTGCATCTCCATATATGAGCAGTGATAACGTTAAACCCGGTGACACGACCAACACTGCTACCTTTAGCTTTCTCCTTAAGGCTCATGATGTTCTGAGATGTTAGTTCAAAAACCTTAAAGTCAAGTTCTTCTTTGGTAGCCTCAAAGACCCCATTCTCAAGGCCTGTGGGGAGGTTATCGAGCTTGATCAACTCAGGGTGGGGGAAGCTGACACGTGGAGGCGATCGCGCGGCCAGGAGTTGCCTGTCATGGCAGGGTATCACAGTCAAGGGCTTGTTGGAAGCCAATGCAGCAAGGTTGTCCAAGAAAGTTCTAAAACTAAGCCCATCAAAGGTCGTATGGCTGGTTGTGAATCCGATAGCAAAACCACCACACTTGAAGGATGTAAGCTGTTGACCAAAAAAAGAACGATGTCAGCTGTAAAGTAAATGCAACGTAATCAATCCATTTATTATTGTTTTAAAGTGTAATATATATTTAAAGTAGATAGATACTAGTGTAATTAGGATATTACTTAAGAAGTTAACGTATATATATATTTGAAGATAACAGATAGTCGAAAAATTAAAAACTGTACGTAATTAATATGTTTATTTATATCACAATTATTATAACCTTTATGATTTTATTATTGTTGTTATTTATGATAAGCGTGTAAATAATTGAAGTATATAATTAACAGATGCTAACTTACAGGGCACAAGTTAAAAATAAAAATAAAAATATTAAAATATGCTATTAATGCATTTTTATCATGATTTTTAATATATTTTAACCTAATTTTTATGAATAGTTATTTACTAATTATTTAACTAATACTAAGCACTAATTAGCAAAACTCTGAAAAATTAGCATTATCATCAATTTGTATTTGGACAAATAATTAAAAGTAATCTTTTTATTTTAAACGTAAACAAATTAACAGAAGAAGCAAGGGCAAAGATGAAATTAATAAAAACTATTTAAATATAAAACAAGATGTTCATATAAGTTTGTGTAGCATTATTTTTAAAAGGAATAAGATCTTCTCAAATTAGTTTATGTTTAAAAACTCATATACTTGATTTAAGTTTTTTATTTAATTTACATCTAACGATCAGTAAAATAATAAATTATAAATTATATTTTGTTATATGTAAGTTATAACTTTTTAAATATAAATTATAACTAGTTAGATGTAAGTTAAATAAAAAACTCAGATTAAACGTAAATTTTTTTAAGTTTATATGAAAAAATCTTTTCACTTTTTAAAAAATAAATGTCTAATTTATTTTAGACGTTACTTTAACGATCAAATTATTACAATGATAAATACTTTAAAATGTTATAATATATTCTCATAAAAAGAATAACAACACTATAGCTTTATTATTCTTTAATTAGAATTAGTTTTTCACTTCTAAATTTGTGCTGATTTTCTATAATGATATGTTAAGTATTAATGTCAGTATTTATTATGAAAATTATCAAAATAAAACTTTATTTTTTTATTAAAAATAAAATTAACAATAGCTAAATTACTACATATAACTTTTTTCACGAGAAAAAAAATCTATAATATCGTAGGTAAATGATTTTGCCATAGAACAGTCACACTCTCGAGAGAGGAAAACAAGGGATAGATAGAAATGGAACCAACAACATTTTTCTACTTCATTGAATGGGAGAAAAGAAGCTGATACATTTTCGGATAGAGAATGAGAGCATCAACACGAAATTAAATAAAGGTAGCTATAGATATGTATTAATGGGGATCTACACTATCTGACAGTGCCCATATTGTCATGCACGAAAAGAAATGCAATTAATTTAAACTACATTGTTGTAGCCACCGCAAAAGAAACTGTAGCTGATGCAACACTCAACCAAATTAAAGCACAACCATCCACAAGCATATACAATAAATGTGACTTGAAAAGTCAAATTGTGCCAAAATAAGGAAATATTGTACCTGTGCAACACATAGTGGTTGATCACCTGGTTCAATGAAATCTTGACTCTCGTGAACAAGTTGCGCAAAAGCTGGATTAGGATAACCCAAGTCTCCAATCTCATTTAATGTGTACTCACTAGAAGCCACCACAAACCCAGCACCCTTTGCGTTGCAATTTATCTCTAATCTATTGGTTTCGGAGTTCAGCCTCAATCTTCCAGCTAAGAAGTCATAGACCACTAGAGAATCTTGTAGAGCGTTCTTGAACTTCTCAGCCACTGTTTGGGGAGGAAAATCGTTGTTTGCTGCAAAGAAGTGAACAGTTTGCACTTCGAAATTGAGGACCTTGTCTATGTTTGATAGGAACAAGGACTTCTTCTGAGTTTCTTTGGATGGGAAAACCATTGAAGTTTTGTGGATGATGACCTTCAGGTCTTGAACAAGCGGTGGAGCTTCTATGCAAGAGGTTCCCATGTTTGACTTGCGAATAGGACAGAATTGACGTGTGTAATGTAACACAGTTACACAGTTTTTGTGTGTGCGGTGCGATTTGGCCTTGACCTAATATATATAGAGTGTGATACTGTGACCTTTAGGGTGGCATGCACCATAACGTGCTTTTTTAGTTTCATTAGCTTTAAAACGAGGAATGGTTCGGATTGTGACACGAATTCACGAGGAAAGGTAGAAATTAACCAATGGACTCAATGACGTTTTTGGATGAAATTACTGAAATAAATTTGATTTATAAATACATACATCAAATTTTATTTCTTTTATGTCCCACCTCAATATTTATTATATTTATTACTCACCTATTTTTTATTGCTATATCTTTAAGGGCCTTTTGATGATTATGATAGAGTAGAAAATGATAGGTTAAATGATGGATACAAAAAATATATATATAATAAAAGAAAAATAAGCTTTTATCATATCTTATGATTGATATACATAAAGATAATAAAATAGATAATAATATATCATTCTTAATATAAATTATATTTAAATGATAATATTATTTTTTATCAAAATTAATATAATTTAAAAAAAATTAATTTCTTAATTTTTAATATATATATATATATATTATGTACATATAATGTTAAAATATTTTTTTTAACATTAAAATTTATTTTTAGGTAAGATATTATAATTAGAACAAAAAATTATATTTAAAATACATTTTATAAACTAATTAAAATATATTTTAACATATATGTATATATAATTTTCTTAAAAGAACAATAAAAATACTTTTATCAAAAAATGTTCATATAAAATTTCATAAAATATTAAAATTATATTTTTTTAAATAATAATTTTTAGAAAATATCAAAAAGAATATTATAGTATAAGTAAAACAAATATAAGAAAAAAAATCTATCTCAATATTTCCTTACCTATCACTCATGTTGAATAAGAATTTAAACTATAATAATAAAATAATATAACTCAACAAAATAAATCATCATACCCCATTAATTAACAAATATTGAAAATAAATTAGAATAGAATAATCTATAATATTCTATTATTTTATTTTATCCACCAAACGAACTCTAAGTATAAATAATTCAAGCCTTTTCATTAGTAAAAAAAAATTTGACGTCATAATATTTGTAGTACTCTATGCCAACATTCACTTGTATGATAAAATATATTTTTGATGATACAATTTTTTTATAATGCAAATTATACTAATTCCATTACTAAAATATTCTCTTCCCTTTATATTATTTATTACTTAAATTGAATTTTAAGAATTAACGTTAATAAAACTTTAATGTAAATGGTCATGGCATGGCCTGGTAGTTCGTACAAATCAAATAACCCGTTATTATTTTGTAACCGGCGTGTCGGTGTTCTACAAGCGCTTCCATCATTCTTCATGAGCCGGCACGGTAGAATATTAGGCTAATTTAAATAGGTAGTTGCTAGTGTATAAGCCACAAAAACTAGAGAAAAAGTGGTTGGTAATTAGGTGCTGCAAAGGAAATTAAAAGGAGGTTAGGTGTAATAAAAGCTATACTTGTGGGTTGGACACAAATCAAGAGTGTAGAGATGCAACTTGCATATATACATGCAAATTTGAAGAGAAAAATGTATCTTTGTAGCTTTCAGTGGTCAACTATTTCTTTATCTTTTTCATCACACCAAATTAAGTTCAAGAATTAAGTCATAGTTCATGGTTCAATCTTGTAAGTTAGTTCAAAATTTTATATTTAAAAGCAAATAATTTTAAAAAAGTGCTGGTATCAAAATTAAATTTTTTTAATTAAAAAAAAGGGATGTCTTCAAAAATATGGTGGAACCCAAAAAATAAGAGGAGAGATTAGGATAATGTGAAAACAAAATCAGAAAATATTATTAAATAGAATGGAGAGGGAATGTGAGCAATAATGTTTTATATATAAGAATGGAAGTTACTGCTCTAACTACCAACTTAACTAACTTTTAATTAATCAAATTATATATATCTTTGCTTAAATTACTAAAATTATCTCTAACACCTCTCTTAAAATTTCTAATTTTCTTATATTCTCCCATTCTCTCTTCTTTCTCGAGCTTAACCACAACTTTTTAAAACGATGATTTGCATGAAATATGAGAAAAGAGATACAAGATTAAAGTATCAGAAAATTTTTCAATTTTGTTGGAAGTTGAAAAGTTGAACCGACGGAAGAACCTAGAAAAGTTAATCTAATCGAGAAACCTAATTGTTCAAGTCTAAGAATGATTCAAATTCAAATAGACAGCAACCAATAGCTGCAGTTCGCGAAGAGATATCGCAGACAAATGTTAATTAGCATCTTAGATAACTAGTTATTTAATTTCTAATGGTTATAAACAAATAGCTGTACCCAAGCCTTTCCCTTCTGGTGGCTCTAATAAACGAATTCGTAAACAGGATTGCTATTTGGTGTGCAACGTAATGTAAAAACATTTTACAATGGCGAAAGACGAATAACTAATAAAGTTCTTGTTTTTGCACTTTTCCTTCAGCTATCTTTTCGTACCATATATCATCAATCATTTTAAAATTTAGTAAAATATCTTTCCATCTTATCTTACTTCGTATAAAGTCCATCAATAAATTTATCCACTTTAAATGAAATTGTTCTTCATTTTTCTTTAGCATATAGTTTTCATTTAATTTGCAATTTGTTTTTCATTATTATTTTGATAATTGAGATGTACTTTTCCATAATATGCGACATATATTTGATATTTGTTATTCATTTCACCTTTTTTTCAGTAATTGTCTTCGTTATTTTATATGGATTCTATTAATTTTTTAAAGTCAATTTATACTATTTTGGTTATAGTTACTTCTGATTAAGTTTACGTATTTCTTCTTTTGAAAATTGTTATTTACTCTCAAGTGGTCTATATGTATTATTATCCAATCAATGAAATAAGTTTGGAAGTTAAAATAAAATGCGTCTAGCCAAGGCACTTGATTTTAAGCTAAATAAAGCATACTAAGTAAGATTCCTATAGTTATTGAAGATTATCCGAAGTGAAACACATAACAACAGTGAAATTAGTAAAACTGTTGTGGATCCATTTGGTCCACTGCGAAAAGTGAATCTCCTCAAACATACCTGTTGCTACAGCTATGTACCCTTTAATACCCCACAATGGTTGTGTGCTCACCATCGATAAATCTCTATCTAAATCTACGTTGCATACGGTACCGGCTACGGTACGGAGATACGCTAATTTTAAAAAAATCAGGGTACGGATGCATCTATATATAACATAAATAAAATTTAATATAAACATAATTAAATAACATAAAATTGTCTAATAATCCATTCAAAATGATATAACATAAAGTGAATTATATAATTCAACAAATAAGATTTTAATAAAAACACAAATTTATAAATTGTTCTACAATCAACAACAAAAAGGCTAAACATTCATACTTTAACAGTGTCAATCTCATCATTCTCTTCTCTATCATCAGTAAAAAACACTGCCTTCAAATTTAGTTCATTAAGGAAAAGAGTAGCAACTTCAAGCCCAGCTTGTAACATCCTCTTTTCACTTTTCGATAATTTATGTTTATTTACTGTTAAGTGGTATTAGAGTGTAATTAGAAGAGAATGTAGAGAATTTTTGGAAAGATTTTGGTGCAGTAGATCTCGCTCAGGTGAGATTGGGCATGCAGAAATATCTAGCTGCAGAGCTATCTCGCTCAAGCGAGATGAGATAATTGTTGCCCAGCTGTCATCTCGCTCAGAAGAGAGTGTTCTCGCTCAAGCGAGCTGAGGATCTCGCTCAGACGAGATGGGTAGCTCAGGCGAGGACCCACAGGAGAAATGACATGCTCTCTGGACACTATTTCGCTCAGACAAGATGGATCTTGCTCAAGCAAGCATATTAGAAAATAGTGTGCGAGACCACTATCTACATATCTCGCTCAAGTGAGATGCTCGTCGCTCAAGCGAGCTGTCCCTAGCTCAAGCGAGAATGCGTGAGGCTGAGGGGTATTTAAGAGATTTCTCGCATGAGAAATTCATTTTTTTTCAAACTCACGTCCTTCTCTCAAGTTTTCTCCAAACTCTCTCTTCCTTTCACTCAGATAAAAGCCTCAAAAACTTTAATTTCTTTTCATAATCACGCTTGGAATTGAAGCTAAGTGATTCTAAGTAAGTTTCTTCGGATTAAACTTGAGTTTTTTTTTATCATTTTTCCTATTCTTATTTCTTATGGATATCTCTTTGTGTTCAGGAGAACTTCCATAGTAGACTCCCCAACCCTTTTCAATATATCTCTGTGAGCTCATCTTCAAGGTAATGAGAGCTCTATTTTATCTTTTTAGTATAGTATTTATGTTAAGCTCATAGAGCACTGTTATGTGAATATGGTATGAGAATGAATGATTGTGATATATGCTATGTTTAGTATGGTTGAAAAGATGTTTGTTTGATGAGTTGGACTATTTGGTTGATATATATTCGTATGTATTATGAGATGATTATTCAGTGTGAAATATTACTAAATTGGCTTAGTGATCCATGTGATCTTGTGAAATATATCTGAGTAAAATGACGTGAATATGAAAGTTTATGGATAAAATTGTATCAATGAATGTGTGCGTAAAATGGATTGAGATGAACATAGTCTGGAAGTACTTTACTAAGCACGATCTTATGAGTGAGAAAGAGAATAATTCTAAGAATGACCCTAAGAGTCAGATTTGGATTGATCTAGTGTAAATAGTTACAAAGATACACTGGAGGTATAGAGTCTGGAGACGATGAGAATCTGGGAGAAATGTAGGGTAGTGAGCGACATTTGCGTATGTGTACACACTCTTTCTGAGAGCGAATAAGTCAAATGGCCTCGCACTCGTTTCCTGACTAGACTCTTGACTATGCCTTTGCTAAGGGGCCCGATTATTGTACATGTGTATTCGTGTGCATGGGCTAATTGGCGACTATTTACCTAGTTGAGTAAGACCTCGAAAAGTGTTGGAGGCATCGGTATCTGTGATCACAGTGCACTAGAAGTGCGTGTTG